AGACCATGGTGGTAGGTTCAGCTCCCCTTTAAAATGGTACCCAAAGATTTACTTATTGAAAACTGGAGGGAAGGGGCAATTATTTTTTCTTTAAAAAAGGACAATATTCTAAAAAATGTAAGAGCTCCTAAGGTTGCCTAAACAGCAAAAATTAATTACGTGGAAAAATTAAAATTTTTATTCTTTACAACATAAAGCATTTAGATTCTGGGCCTACGGAATGAGTCCATGGAATTGATAAAGGAGTACAAATAAGAAGTTATTTGGAAAGAAGCTACTGAAATTTACTTGACCTCAAAAGGGGAGAGAACAAGAAACTCTCCCCTTTTCTGTGCAAAATGACCTTTCCAAGAGGGAGAACAGCGGCTTGTCCGAATTACGGTCTCCTTACCTCCAGCTGACTTTTCGTGAGCTACTCTAGGGGTAGATTGACGTATCATCGAGAGTATGTCTGATGGGAAAACTGCATCTTTGTGGGAAATAGGTATTCACGGGTAACAATCGAAGAACTAACACAAATGTCTTTGGAGCAATACCCATTTGTAGATGTGGACTTTATTAGAATATGAACAAAGACAACCATATAAATGTTGAAGAAATAAAAGTTTATAGCCAACAACCCAAATTTCCTTGCACTTTAATTTTGACACTAATTTTATTTTATCGCATCTAAGTGAATCCTGTTTATCATATGAGACTTCCCTCGATGGCAGGTATTAGATATTTTTAGACAAATTGGAAATACACTTATAAAGTTAATCTATTCAGTGAAGACCAACTTAAGTGCATGACAACTGCTAATCTAGTCAATAAAGAACAACTTAGGTGAATGACACCTACAAGTGACTAATTCTTCTGAAAAACAATGCCCTTTGATATCATATATTCTATAAATTAGTAATAGTTCTAACATTTTTCAAAAGAGCTGTGTAAAAAACTTGTGACAAGTCTTTTGTGCTTATAAACATCATAAATGGTGTCATATACAAATCTAAAAATGTTAAAATAGCCTGGCAATAGTCTTTATTAAGTATGAATAAAATGTCTTAATATATTTATTAAATGTGCCAACATTTTGAATAATTTATACCATTTTAAAAGGGTTTAAGATGATTTATTCTTTAAAGTTTAGCACGTTACCATATCTAATACATAGTGATGACACATATCACACTTCAAAATTTCTCTTCCTAAAGGTAAGCTGCCCTTTCTTTTTCATTTTTAAAATATTCAGAAATGTTAAAAATTAAGAAACCAGTGGACCATTGGGACATTTTTGTCATTTTATATTGAAATAAGAGACTAAGCGGAAGAAGACTGTGAAAATGATATAGACAATTAGTATCAAGTATTTAAAATTTAATAAATTTAAAATGGGAGTCAAATATAGACACGTCTAGGTATAAAAAACTATTATATAAGGTAAGTTATTAAGCAAACTTAAAATTATAATGTATAAAAATATTAGTCTGAAGGAAACAGCTTTCTTGAGAAACATTTTGAGGCTCATAGTGAACTCTAAATACAAAGAAAATTAAGTGGTTCTGTGGACACCAATGTGAAGTGATCAGCCTTTGAAAGAGGATCCCTGTGACCTGTGTAAATAGGAGCTCACAG